GACTGTAGACTGTAGACTGTAGACTGTAGATTGTAGACTGTAGATTGTAGACTGTAGACTGTAGACTGTAGACTGTAGACTGTACACTGTAGATTGTAGACTGTAGACTGTAGAATATAGACTGTAGACTGTAGATTGTAGACTGTAGACTGTAGACTGTAGACTGTAGATTGTAGACTGTAGACTATAGATTGTAGACTGTAGATTGTAGATTGTAGACTGTAGACTGTAGACTGTAGACTGTAGACTGTAGACTGTAAACTGTAGACTGTAGACTGTAGACTGTAGACTTTCTGAGAAAACATATTTGAGATAATATTCATTTTGAATATTATCTGGTTTTTTTAAATACATTTTTCCCTATACTTTGAAGACTTATTCATGTCAGTTCAGGCTTTAACACTCCTTCAAATTTTAATTGAAACAATATCATCATTTTCAATTTTATAACGTTCTCTATAAAATTGCTTGCGGAATTATGCAGACGAAACAATGAAGAAAATTTCGAAGAATTTTTGTGGAAAAATGAACAAAGGTTAAACTTTTCAAGATAATCAAACACCGGAAAAAAAAATCCGGGTTATTGTCACATACAATACTAAACATCAGCTAGTACACTCTATTGGCACTTACAATACAAAACATCAGCTAGTACACTCTATTGTCACATACAATACAAAACATCAGCTAGTACACTCTATTGGCACATACAATACAAAACATCAGCTAGTACACTCTATTGTCACATACAATACTAAACATCAGCTAGTACACTCTATTGTCACTTACAATACAAAACATCAGTTAGTACACTCTATTGGCACTTACAATACAAAACATCAGCTAGTACACTCTATTGGCAGTTACAATACAAAACATCAGTTAGTACACTTTATTGGCACTTACAATACAAAACATCAGCTAGTACACTCTATTGGCACTTACAATACAAAACATCAGTTAGTACACTCTATTGTCACTTACAATACAAAACATCAGCTAGTACATTCTATTGGCACTTACAATTCAAAACATCAGCTATAGTACACTCTAAACTTTCATATTTGGCAAATACAGTTGTCGTCGTATATTTTAATACAATGAAGACGACTTCATTTTTCAATTTTTTATGCCAATCTTTCAAGCAGCGGAGACGCATAAAAATGTAAACTTTCATATTTGGCAAATAGTAAACCTTAATTTTTCGTACTTGGCATCTAGTACACTCAAACATATCGTGGCAACTAATACACTTTAAATTTTCATATTTGGCAACTAATACACTTTAAATTTTCAAATTTGGCAACTAATACACTTTAAATTTTCATATTTGGCAACTAATACACTTTAAATTTTCATATTTGGCAACTATTTACGCACTTTAATTTTCATATTCGGCAACAATTTCATATTTTGTAATTAGTACACTAAACTTTCATATTTGGCAACCAGTTCAATTTAAATTTTTGTAATTGGCAACTACTGCACTTAAAATTTTCCTATTTGGCAACTATAATAAACCTTAAACTTTTATATTTGACAACAATAAACCCTAAATTTTCAGACTTGGAAACTAGTATACTCCATCCTTTCATAGTATACACAACAAATTTTCTTATTTGGCAACTGGTACACTCTAAATTTTCAAATTTTCATATTTGGCACCTATATTACACTCTAAATTTTCATATTTGTCTACCAGTTCAAATTAAAATTGATATTTGGCAACTAGTACGCTCTTAACTTTCATATTTGTCCCCTAGTACACTTTAATTTTTCATTCTTGGCAACTAAAATAGACTTTAAATTTTCAAATTTAGAAACTTGTACACTCTAAATTTTCATATTTGGCTATCAGTTCACTTTAAATTTTGGACTTGGCAACTATGCAGTGCACTCACTTTAAGTTTTCATGTTCGGCAACAGATAAACTCTACATTTTTATATTTGGCAATTAATACACTCTAAATTTTCAAATTGTCCAACAAAATTCATATTTGGCAACTGGTACACTCTAAACTTTCGTATTTGGCAACACTAATACACTCTAAATTTGTATACTTGCCAACCAAAGCTTTACCTTTGTTGAACAGTAAATTACTGCACCTTTTATACTATATTAATAAATCGTTTATATCTGCAAAGAGATTTTTTTCTTAGTTTAGGTTATTATTTATGATTCTGTTTATTACGTTAATATAACATTTAATGTTGTTGTAAATCAATATTAAAGAACAAACTGCAAGTGTTTTCGGAATTACAGTGGTCACCTATATATCAATACAGTGAAGACGACTTTATATTCCAGTTTTTAATTCACTGAGCTTTCATACAAGCAGAGACAAATGAACATGTAAATAAAGAGAATAGGCGCGCGTGGGAAGTAGTCCTCTTGCACCCCCCTGGGCATCCCAGGGGGGGGGCCTGCCCCACCCTGGGAATCATAAGCAATGGTTTAAATCAGGAGTAGTGGGTAAAAAATGAGCTTGTTCTCATCTTCAAAGTAATGTTTTCCAACTTAAAAAGTAGTTGGAACATTTTCTTGCCGCTGAGCGCCACTTATTTTAAATTTTACTCTAGTATGTATTTCCCTTATGTTTAAAATCTCCTCCTCCCCCCAACTTGATAAACAATCAAAGTTTTATGCATAATGCATTATTTGGCATGTCTTCCCGCAACCCCCATGAAGGTCAAGGGGAGATTACATTAGGAGAGAATTAAGGGAGAATAAAGAGGACGGAGGACTAATGATAGTCTTTAGAAGACTACTCAGGACTTCATAGAGTAATACAAAACTTTATAGAGGAATACATTGTAATATAGTCATTGACTTGGGACTACAGTGGACTACAAAGGAGAGTAGTATCAGGAGACTGCTCAGGACTTCAGAGAGTAATACAGAACTATACAGAGTGATACATTATAATATATAGTTCTTGAATTCGGACTACAATGGGCATAAGGGGCATAAGGGACATGTAGTAGACTTAAAAAGTCCTATAGTGTTAATTTCCATGTCTTATGATGGAGAAATCAGTGTTCTGAACTTCTAAGTGCTAGTTATCACCCCTTCGATAATGAAATACAGTGATAGGCGATTTTATCAATACAATGAAGACGAACTTCGATTTAAATTTTTATTCATACCAAGCTTTTAAATACAGTGAAACCCTTAATAATGAATGCATCGAAAGAATTGATCAAATGTCGTATTCTTCACTTTCTAATAATGGAATGTTGCAGATATTTAGTTATTTAGTTAAATGATTATATGGAACTCTTTAAAACTGTTCCCGCATATTCATGGCTATTTATTTTTTTTCGCAAATACTGAAATTTACGTAATATAGTATAAAACTCATTTAAAAAGTTGTCGAGACGACATTTGATAAATTCTTCTGATGTATTCGTTATTAAGGGTTTTACTGTAGCATGGATGGGATTCACATAAGCATGGAAATAAAGTAAATTATTGATAAAAAAGCATTTTTATGATGACGTATATTAACTTGTGAATCGAAAAAAGCTTGTTGAAAACAAAACTTAAATAAAAAATCGTCTCCATTGTATTGATATAATCACATAGTACCATTAATTACTGTCCAGTGTTAATTTACATCCCTAATTGCTCTTTAGATTGTTATTTTTTCTGCTTATAAAATCTCAGGAAATAAGTAGTATTTCATGACAAATGAATTTTTTTTGTTAAATCTTTTATAGCGTACTTAAAAAGTTTTCAATACAAAACGTACGCAAGAAAAGATTTCCGACATTTATTTATTTAGTTATTAAGACATTAATATCATTTCAAGCCTTTAAATTTTTGTATGTTTCTTGCCCTTTAGAGGTTTTTGCTGTCTATGCCCTTCCCCTTTTTCTCCCTGTGTTCCCTCCCTCACTTGTAATCTAAGAAATGAAGGTTGTCCGAACCCTCCATCTCCAGCAGATTACTCTGCAACACCTACCAGGATAGCGGAACATAAAAGGAGTCTCGGCCTGCTAAATCCGCTAAAAATTCTCTTAGCTCTAATCCTGTTTTGTTTTCCTGGCAGCTAATATGGAGTTGAGGCGGTGCTGGGGAGTTAGTACGACGGGCTGCATCCCACTGGGCGGACCAGGACTGTAGGACGGAGACACAGGAAACCTCCCGGCACACCGCCATCAACCCTGTCCACCCATGAACACGGATATTTGCCGGCCTGTCGTCCCCTCGCCCCGTCACGGTGGATGTCGACCAGTCTCTGCTCAGGCAGCCAGGCCGGGAATATTACGGCAGGGGAAAGATCACGCCCAATTTGCAGTCCATTGGTCGTGTAACTAGTAGTAACGTAAAGCTAGGCTAGGTTTATTAACGATTATTCTGAGGTGTTAAGAGAAGGAGGGGGGAGGGAGAGGCCGGAGGTGGACATATTACGTATACACACATTCTGTCTTAATTTTACTCATGTAGTCTTAAAAGTAGTAAAGAAGATAATGTTAAGAAGTAAACTATACTTTTAAATTCATCTAGATTGGCAATCAGAAAATTTTCTAGGGTGAGTATCTTTAAAACGATCGCACTTGAGAATTTTGTAGCAAAACTATGAAAACTAGTTTTCAAGAAAGATCCATGTCTCTCTCCGTCCCCCCTCTATCTACTCTATAAGCAATACATTACCTTTCTACTAATTATCCCGTATTTTGAACTTCCCGCGCGTTTTACGGGTTCAACTCGGTTCCCTGAATTATGACTTCGTCTAACTCTAACCCTTATCCAGTTCCAAACACCCAGCTTAACCTTTAACCTAATGTACTGGAAGTTCTTATAAATTTTAGGTTAGTTCAGTTTCCTCTTGGTCGCATGAATGGATTCCGCTCTTTATCTATTAGTATTAAGTAATAATCTCATGTTTTCTGTTAGTTTGTTTGTTAGTTAATATGTCTGATCATGAATTCTGGAACCCCCTGACCAATTTTCCTCTAAGTTTGATGGGGACTTTGAGAAATAAAATTCACTTAAATGCCTGATCAATCAATGTAATTTATTCTTTGTTAAGTTTTCACAATATCTAGTTTGACATTTTCTGAGAAACCTTACAGGTCAGGGTGAAAATATCCATAAAGTCGGTAGTTTTCTTAATCCAATCCATCGGAATATCCTAAAATATAGTTTTTCTTAATCCAATCCATCGGAATATCCTGAATTATAGTTTTTTAAGATCCAAAACATCAGAATATCCTGAAATATAGTATTCCATAATCCAATCCATTGGAATATCCTGAAATATAACTTTTCATAATCCAATACATCGGAATATCCGGAAATATAGTTTTTTTTTAATCATCCAATACTTCGCGGAATATCCTGAAATATGGCTTTATGATAATCCAATCCAAAGGAATATCCAGAAATATGGCGGTTTAATAATTCAAACCATCAGAATATCCTAAAATATGGTCTTTTTTTTAATTCCACCCTTAAAAATTGATTCTAAAACGTACCTTTCTGCTAATTCAGTTTATTCAAATATCCTGAAATATCGTTCAATCCAATCAATCAAATGTACAGCCAAGATTGAATATTTTTTGGAAGATAGGAACCCCCCCCCCTCCGGCCGCTGGCCTCCCCCTTAAAAAATTTACTGAAAGTTTTATCAAAACAAAGATTCGTACTTACATAAAAGAAAATCATTCACCAAAGATCACAAAATCAACAGGGAGAAGAAAAGTATAAAAATGTAAGATTTAAGAACTTAGATGAATTTCTCTGAGTTCCAAGAAACGGTCAATTTTATTGATGTATATAGAAGTTTTATTATAGAATTTATTATTTTTCTAATTTGGAAAATGTAAGAAATGTAAACCTGTATTCCATTAACAGCAGCTACAATAGCTCCGGAATAATTAGATCTAGAGCAGTTACATCCTCCAGCTCTTATACACAACCTGGAGAAGGATAGATATGCACAATTTAATAAATCATCAAATTGATCTAAAGCAGGCGGAGCACGGTAGTTTTTACAGCCTAATAGTTAGATCTAGAGGATTTCACCAACTTTAAAACAACCTGGAGCAGGGGAGTTTATGCAGGCTAATAGTTATATTTGGAGGATTTAACCAGCTCTAAACACAACCTGGAGCAGTATAGTTTATACCAGCTACTAGAGAGATCTATAGGATATAGCCAGCTCTTAACACAACCTGGAGCAGAGTGTATTATACAGGTTATTAGTTAGATCTAAACACGATCTGGTACAGGGTAGTTTATACAGGCTAATAGATAGATGTAGAGGATTTAACCAGTTCTAAACACAACCTGATGTAGGGTAGTTTATTATATGTTAATAGTTAAATCTATATGATTCAACCAGCTACAGAGCAGGGTAGGTTATCCAGGTTAATGTCAGATATAAAGAATTTAATTAGCTCTCAACACAACCTGGAGCAGGGGGTAGTTTATACGGGTTAATAGATAGATCTAGAGCAGTTGACTATCTCCAAACACAACCTAGAGCAGGATAGTTTATTAAAGTTAATAGTTAGATTTAGAGCAGTTGACTAGCTCTAAACACGATCTAGAGCAGGGGGTAGTTTATATGGGTTAATAGATAGATATAGAGCAGATGACTAGCGCTAAACACAACCTGGATCAGGATGCAGTTTATACAGATTAATAAATAGATCTAAAGCAGTTTACTAGCTCTAAACAAAACCTGGATCAGGACGTAGTTTATACAGATTAATAGATAGGTCTAGAGTAGTTGACTAGTTTTAAACACAACCTGGAGCTGTTTTTGCTAGATCTAGTTGGATCTAGAGCAGAGTAGATTATATAGTTTTCATGATTAGAACACCAAAGGACACAATCGAACTGGACAGGACAGAGAAGGAATTTAAAAAAGATAAGACAGAAAGGAAAAGAATGACAAAAAAGACATTTACAAAGGTGGATCAGACAAGAGATAAAAGGAGAAACCAAGATGGAATAAAAAGACTGACAAGACAGGATATAATCTATAAAGAATAGGATTAGGCAGGACGGGATGGGATATACAGAGGACTAGGGGAGAGGAGACTGTCGGTGTCTGAACTTGATTGCTTGAGAGTATAGAGAACTATATAGAACTGCATGAACTGTCTAAACCTGATTGCATGAGAGTATGAAGAACAAGATAGAACTGCATGAATTGTCTAAACCTGATTGCTTGAGAGTATGAAGAACTAGATAGAACTGCATGAATTGTCTAAACCTGATTGCTTGAGAGTATGAAGAACTAGATAGAACTACATGAATTGTCTAAACCTGATTGCTTGAGTGTATGAAGAACTAGATAGAACTGCATGAATTATCTAAACCTGATTGTTTGAGATTATGAAGAACTATATAGAACTGGATGAATTATCTAAACCTGATTGCTTGAGTGTATGAAGAACTATATAGAACTGTATGAATTATCTAAACCTGATTGCTTGAGAGTATGAAGAACTAGATAGAACTGCATGAATTGCTCCGACCATAGAACCAGGAACATAACAGTTATTCCCGAATTCTCTTGAATAAAAAACTAAAATTAACAAAATCTTATATTCTCCATTTTTAATGAGATTTATCCAAGCCGAAAATTTATATTAGTTTACGTTTTAAACATTTTTATAGCAATTTAACAAAAATCATATCAAATATCGTTAAAACCATTTTAAATGACTTCTAAAATGGTATGTCAAAAAAAACAACAAAAATGGCCCAATGGGTGAGTTATTTAGGAAGTGTTTTTAATGCTAAATGCAATGCTAGTTTCGGTCAATCACTTCTAGAAGAATGTGTCGCACATCTCAGAGTGGATTTCATTGGTTTAAGGAAAGGTCTTTGCTCTATTTTTACCTGACTAAGGTTATGTGAGGTGTATTCTAAAAACAATTTGTTCAAAAATATTTAAAAATGTTAAACGTTCGAAACATGAAGTTCAGTTTTCTTTAACGGAAATTTTTCTTTTATTACTATAAGCTGTTTTGTAAAAAATAAGCATCAGAACTTGTTGACATACAGGGTGTCCCACATCATATTAGACCGAGAACGGGTCTAAATTACGATTTTCGGGACTAATTAGAAAATTTCATTTAAATGAATCATTTTGAAAAATAACAAAAGGCTTATATAAGAATTTTCTTAAGGAAAATGATATAAGTTTTTCGAGTATTAAGGGTTTATTTTGGTGTTAAAGATTGGAGATAATCTAATATGATGTGGGACGCTCAGTAGTTCCCAGAACAGTTTTGTAAGGTCTACGATATCCGGTTACAAAGATATTAGGATTATAATATTAGAGTTTGAAGCATTGAAGATTTGTGCGTAAATTTATATTAGTTAAGAGCAACGAGGTCTACAAGACTCACTCTAATATAATTTAAACTGCTCTTCTTCTCCAGGATTTAAAATCTTAAATCTTAAGTTAAATTCTTGGTGGACAAATATTCCTGTTTTTCCAGCATGTCCCGGAGAAATTCGAGTCCTTCTCCAGGTTCAAGTTTATCCAGGTCCATAGATCCAGTGAGGATAACATTCTGCAGAATCCGACACTGAACCTGGAAAATATATATATATTTCGTACATCATGTATGCAACCCATGAGTTCTTTATTTCAATATATATTGTGTTGCGCAGGGGCAAATTCAAAGATTTATTGTAGTAGTTTATTTGAGTCCACAGAGATGAAGATAGCAGGGAAGAGAAGAATTGAACCAGAATAGAGCAGTCAGATGCCTGCAGAGCAATTATCAGCCTTATTTATATTGTTAGATAACAATTACAAAAATAAAGTACAGGGTTATTCATAATAAATTATTGGTTCATTATCGGCAATTATTTATTTCCTTGTTGATAACTTGATATAATGTTAAGTTTCTCTAAAACTAAAATGCAAGGAAGGTTTAACCTGAATAATCGGTTAACTTGGGTTCAAGTCTAAAGATAGATAAGGAGAAATTGGACTGTGGTTTATATCTATTTTTAACTTTTAATTGCTTGTACTAACAAACTGCGTGTTTTACTCATAATTTTAGAATATTAACTCTAATTAAATTCTAAAACTATAACTCGCTACAGCTGCTAGTTTCGCTTTGAGAAGGTCAATAAAATCTCAAAGAAAAGAAAAAATGTTATTTTTGACAATGTGTATTTCGGAAAGAATATTCCATATTACAAAGGGTTAAATGTTAACTTGAACTTTATAAGGAAGTTAAAGAAATATTTCCAAAATTAATTATTTTTTTAGTTTACTTACCAATGCAATAGAAACAGTTTTAGGGTTTCTTGTCAGTAGTTCAACAATTTTCTGAAACAAAATGAAAAGTTTATCATGGACATTAGAAGAAAAGGGACTGACCCTCCATGTGCAAAGATGGCAATGCCCGATTTAGAAGGGTACCACTACTGAAAGCTTTGTCTGATCAAGTGTGAATTAGATAGCAATGTTCTTGTTTCTGCAAACTGTTAATTCTCATTTGCGGTTTCTCTGCGAAAGGGACTTGCGCATTCCTTGTTTATGAGTGGAATTGGAGAACCTTACAGTAATAAACACTTTTCGAGTCAGAAAAACGACAGTATCTTTCAGATTTTTGGTCAGATTAAGGTTTTAAGGGCACCGTTGCAAATCAGACATGGCCATCTTTGCATGGAGGGTCACTTAAATAATTACGCTTACAGTCCCTGGATAAAACAAATATAAAAGTGTACATTAAAAGATGAACTAAGATAATAATGTAACGCGGAAGGTTGGAAGGATTTAAGAGAAGAATGTAAAAAGGAACCCAAATAAGATAAAGAGGACGGAAGAAGTTAAGATTTAGATCGAATGGACGAGGACGGATGAAATTAAGATAAAAATCAATAAGTACTGATAGAACCAAGATAAGATTGTAAAGAGGACAGATAAAATTAAGATAAAAATGAATAAGTACTGATAGAACCAAGATAAGATTGTAAAGAGGACAGATGCAATTAAGATAAGAATGATTAAGTACTGATAGAACCAAGATAAGCTTGTAAAGAGGACGGATGAAATTAAGATTAAGTACTGATAGAACAAAGATAAGATTGTAAAGAGGACTGATGAAGTTAAGGTGAGAATGAAGAAGTACTGATAGAACCAAGATAAGATTGTAAATAGGACTGATGAAAATAAGGTGAGAATGAAGAAGTACTGATAGAAACAAGATAAGATTGTAAATAGGACTGATGAAATTAAGATAAGAATAAAGAAGTACAGATAGAACCAAGATAAGATTGTAAAGAGGACTGATGAAATTAAGATTAGAATGAAGAAGTACTCATAGAACCAAGATAAGATTGTAAAGAGGACTGATGAAATTAAGATAAGAATAAAGAAGTACAGATAGAACCAAGATAAGATTGTAAAGAGGACTGATGAAATTAAGATTAGAATGAAGAAGTACTCATAGAACCAAGATAAGATTGTAAAGAGGACTGATGAAATTAAGATTAGAATGAAGAAGTACTGATAGAACCAAGATAAGATTGTAAAGAGGAATGATGAAATTAAGATTAGAATGAAGAAGTACTGATAGGACCAAGATAAGATTGTAAAGAGGACTGATGAAATTAAGGTGAGAATGAAGAAGTACTGAAAGAACCAAGATAAGATTGTAAATAGGACGGATGAAGCTAACCTGACACTCCTCTAGAACGTTTTCCTTCTCTGCATTGAAAACGAGATGAGGAAGGGAGAGGAGGAATCCGTCCATATCTTGATTATTCACATCTCCTTCTCCTTCCTAATAAATAAACATCAATATAGGAAAGCTAGGTGTATCCGGAGAATACTAACTGTACCTGGAGAATACTAACTGTACCCGGATCGAGAATACTATCTGTACCCGGAGAATACTAATCCTTGCCTGGAGAATGCTAAATGTACCCGGAGAATACTAACTGTACACGGAGAATACTAACTGTACACGGAGAATACTAACTGTACCCGGAGAATACTAACTGTACCAGGAGAATACTAACTGTACCCGGAGAATACTAACTGTACCCGGAGAATACTAACCCTTGCCCGGGGAATGCTAAATGTACCTAGAGAATACTAACTGTACTCGGAGAATACTAACTCTACACGGAGAATACTAATTGTACCCGGAGAATACTAACTGTACCCGGAGAATACTAACCCTTGCCTGGAGAATGCTAAATGTACCCGGAGAATACTAACTGTACCCGCAGAATACTAACTGTACCCGGAGAATACTAACTGTACCCGGAGAATACTAACTGTACCTGGAGAATACTAACTGTACCCGGAGAATACTAACTGTACCCGGAGAATACTAACTGTACCTGGAGAATACTAACTGTACCTGGAGAATACTAACTGTACCTGGAGAATACTAACTGTGCCCGGAGAATACTAACTGTACCCGGAGAATACTAACTGTACCTGGAGAAAGTGTAAAACTGCTTCATGAATCCAAGGGCCAGGAACGGGTTCGGTCCAGGCTGTCCTCTTAGGAAAACAATTATATTTCGCTTGAATATTTATTTGTAAAGCACGCACAGACCACAAGGCAGAAGTTACTTGCCTAGTTAATTTCGACATTATTTTGTGATGGATTTTGAAAAGAAAAAAATCTAAAAACCTGACTAAGTTTGTTCTGAATACAGCCAAGACAAACTTTAGCTAGTTTAGTTGGGATCTTATGAACGGAATGGACCTATGTAGTAAGATAGGATCTGAAATATTTAAGTTCTACCTTGGCAGGATTGTATCCTTGTTTTCTCTTCTTGTATGAATCCTGCCAAGCCGTCCCATCTCCAAACTTCTCCGTGATCACTCTCCTGTACGCATCCAGGTCAAGTTCTCCACCTGTGAGCAATATCATGCTTTAGAAGCAGTTTTCGAATACAAAATTTAAACTTGACTAGATTCCCTAAATTGACATGATTATAAGTTAAGGCTGAAGGTAAAATACTGTTGGTCAAACATTTACTCTATACTCCATGAGTCCAACCTGTTATTCTGAGGACCTTGAGTCCAACCTGATATACTGAGGAACATGAGTTGAACCTGTTCAACTGAGGACCATGAGTTCAACCTGTTATACAGAGGACCAGGAGTCCAACCTGATATACTGAGGACTATGAATTCAACCTGTTATACTGAGGACTATGAATCCAACCTGTTATACTGAGGACTATGAATCCAACCTGTTACACTGAGGATCATGAGTCCAACCTGATATACTGAGGACCATGAGTTATACCTGTTATACTGAGGACCAGGAGTCCAACCTCAAGGACATGGTTGTATCCGCTCCTAGCTCCTGGATAAACAAAGTATAAATATTGGTTTTGAAAAATGAGAATAAATTTTTGTATTTTTAATTTCATACCTGTTGGAACATTGTAGAACGGAGATTTATTAACTGGCCAAAACTCAGGCTAGAAACCAGAATGTTTTATTAAGGACTGTTAGAGTATAAAAGGGGGGAATCTCATCTTAAATAGTTTGCAAATGGGACGACTAAAGGGCTTGATCAATGAAATTGCTAAAATCTACTAGCCGTAGTTTAACAATAGGTTTAAAAATTTTTGGCCAGACCAATTGTTGGAATGTTATATCAAGTATTTAATATTTTTATATATACATTAGTAATCTCTGTTTGTTTGTTTGTATGTTTGTGTGTCCGATCAGAACTCAGGTACCTATTGAATGATGTGCCTCAAATTTTTATTTTGGAACTTGGTAAAACCACGGGAATATTCTTGGAGAAAGTTAAGTTTTCCAGACAAGGTTCCCAAGCTAGCATTTTACATTTTATCAAATATAAATAAATAGCCCTGAAGCTAGCAACACAGTTATTATGTAAATAGGCGCTGATTTGTTTTAAAATGCGTATAATTAGATTCCTCACAAAAATTACATAATTTGGCTCCTAAGAAGTTCCGGAGAAAATAAACAAATTTTAAGATTTTAGATTCCCTTTTTTTTGCGAAAAGTCGAACCTTTGGTTTTTCCTCGTTCGGACCTTTTTTTTCTGTCAGAGTCAAAACGTTGCTAATTGTTTAAAAAGCAGTCAGATGTTATTTTTTTAAAATATGGTACACGTTGTAAATTTTTGTGAGGCCAAAAACTCCTTGAATGTTAAAAAAATAAGATGATCCACAATACCTGGGAGATCCCCTCCTCCTCTCCATCCTCCAGTATCAGCTCAAGCTCGGATACTCTACATACAATTTTAGGATATTTCAGTCTGGAGCAAGGGTGTAATGCCAGGAAAGTTAATTGCGGTCGTGTATACTCTGCGTACATATTGAAACCAGTTCTCTTTGGGCGGAATTTGAAAACAAGAATAGATACATCAGTGTTCGTTTAGTATCCGAGGAGGTTAAAAGGATTAAATTTGATAATTTTGATAATTCACATAATAGTTTCCTACCAGAATATTTCACTGATTTTTTTATGTGAAAGATGGATCCCATGTCAGGCTGTAACATCAGTCTTGTGTTTACATTACCGCCCAGTGACAGTACACTGCAGTACAAAAGATGCGTACACTTCTGAAATAACTTTCCTTGCATTACATCCTTGGTCTGGAATATGTTTTCATTCAAAATTGTGACAACAAGGATTTTAATACATCTTTTATTTCTGAAAACGAAAAGGAAAATAAAGAAAAAAAAATTATTGTTTGAAAAATTGTGTAACATGTAAAAACATGTGTACTCTGTAACCTGTAACTGAATGTGTAACACGCAGTTTGAAGTGTCAAAGGTTTAATTCATCAGGTTACAAAGATAAAGGGATTATAGATTAGAATTTGAGTTTGTGACTAAGTCCTTTATGCATATTTTGTAGTGTGTAACCTGTACATGTATTCTGTAGTGTGTAACCTGTACATGTATTCTGTATCTTATGATTTGTGGGTAACCCTGTACATTGCTTAAAGGAACTGTCGTAGTATTATTAAGTGACCTTCTATTTGAAGAAAAGAATGATCAATTCACTAGGGTACCTTTCAACCTTTATCTGATCAATGATATAGAAGATATCTCCGTTTTTCTAGCTTGAAAACTAGTTATTTCTGACAATTTACTCCATCGTTTATGAAGCAGTCACTATATAGGTCAACTTAAATTGATGGATTTATCATGCATTCTTGATCGGGTAGAAAGCTTATAAGGGTACCGTTGTGAATCAACCATGTCACTTTTAAATGTAGAGTAATTGGAAGCTATTTTTACAGTCCTTGTAAACATGAAAGATTCAGACACTTAAAACAAGTAGGAGTTCACTCTCCACTAAAAACCAGTATTTCTTTGGTCAGAGAACTGCAGATCACTGGAAAACGCACAGAAAGCTTAGTTTAGAGTAAGTTTATAGACTAAAAACATATTACATATCTGAAATAAAATTAGAACCTGTTTTTTATGACAAAATGATGGATTGAAGTCAGATGAAATAAACATCTCAATAAAGATGTTATTGGATTACAGAGGCCGAATTTAAAGAATTTGAGCCGTGGCTTAAATTTGAGACCTTACTCAAATATGGATGGTCAAATTAAAATTGTTTTTAATGTTTCAAGATCCAGTGCTCAATTGAATCGGTTTTGCACTCAGTTTAGTTACTTTGCTACCTTTCAATCGATTAAAATATAAGCTAAATTATAAAATTTGATGTAGATATTCTTCAATAAAAAATTTTAAAACTAAAAAAAACTCACTTTGAGTTGGAGACAGATCTTCCAGTTTCTGTTCTAGCATTTTTAAATCAATCATTTTCTTAAAGTTTTATATATGTACATATAAAGTATGAATATATTTATTATGTATGTATATATGCTTAAGTATGTATTATCTTTAAAAAATATCTTTATTAAACTACAGACTATTCTTCCATTTTTGATGTTTAAAGTTTATAATTCTATCTCTTTGGATTTGAAAGTCTATTTAAAAAATTAACTTAATTTGCATTTCTTGCTTAAATACAAATTGTTTTCCTAACAACACTCAATTACACAGAATAAACATTATGTTATGACTTTTTGACCTAACTCATGTTCCCTAATAAATGTAAATAATTATAATATTAGTGCTACAATTCGAATAAACATCCCTTCTTGTCAGTTCATATATCACTAACCGCGAATAAACATCTCTTCTTGTCAGTTCAGATATCACTAACCGCGAATAAACATTTACAAAGTTTTATATTTTATATTTTCATGTCTGATTTGGCAGATAATTTACCATGCTCCGCTAAATATTTCCCTGTTTTAGTTTAGTTTAAATTAAACATGGCGGATTGGAAATTGGAATGTCTGTTGGATTCCGCCGGGCTCTGAGCGGGGGTGTCACATTCCAACCTCTCTACATCAACTATTCTCGGACTCTACACTTGTTCTGCGTTCCTGATAGCTGCACATAGTTGGAGAGACTTAGAGGAGCTGGATATCATTACTCACCTCTCATTGGTCAGATGAAACCCATAGCTGGCCTCTGATTGGTTAGATATCCTGAAATGCCAATTATGGAATTTATAGGAAGGGAATGTATCGCGCTAAAATGTTAAGAATGTGCCTAGAACGCATACCACATACGCTCTTAGTGCTATTTGATTTACGCAGTATACGTAAATTTCATTTTTCATCTTCAGCAAATTGTGTGCGCGCATTTTTTTATCTTTCTAATTAAATATAAAATCTTTCTATTTTAATATATCGCACATTTCAATTAGCATTCCCTTAAAAAAAGCTGTTTTTCGTTAGTATACAAAATAAATATGTTAATTACATATATGATGTTTATAAAGTCTGTCTGTTTTTGTATTTGTATGTCCGATCATAACTCAGGAACCCTTTGACCGATTGGCTTATAAAACTGTCTTCGGGAACTCGGAAGAACAACTGAATAGTTTAACTTGGTTGGGTTAACTATATTGGGGAAACTCCTGGCAAAGCTGGGTTACAAAGCTGGTATAATGATAAATAAAAACAAAAGATTAAAAAACAGGCTCATTAACATAAGATATAATTACAAAATATATAATAACAAAACATATAATTACATATGATATAAGTAACAGTACAAAAGATATAAGTTATAAAAGTTATTTCTGGTTCATATATATATATCAACTATTTTCTGGTTCATATATATATCAACTATTTTCTGGTTCATATATATATCAACTATTTTCTGGTTCATATATATATATCAACTATTTTCGTGCTAAATACAATCGACTTTTAAATATTTTGTAACATTTGCCATTCTGTTGATTGTGTAATAATATCTTTAATTATACTTTAATTATATCTTATATCAATACATGAAAAGTACATAGATGTATTTATAGATAGATGCAATAGAAAATATATTGAACAATGGAAGAACATAGAATGTATTTATAGATAATTGCAATAGAAAATATATTGAAAAATGGAAGATCATAGAATGTATTTATAGAAAGATGCAATAGAAAATATATTGAAAAATGGAAAAACATAAAATGTATTTATAGAAAGATGCAATAGAAAATATATTGAAAAATGGAAGAACATAAAATGCATTTATAGATAGATGCAATAGACAGGGGCGTACGAGTGGAGGCTCTTTTAATATTACATCTGCTTGCATTTCCCTTCCTCAGGTCAGGCAAAGGGGTGTACCTAGGGGGGGTAGTAGTCCTCTTACCCCCCTGGGAGTTCGAAAAATAAAAATTAAAAGGAAACTCCGTTTAGAAAGTAACACCTGACAATGACAAAGACTAAGGATTTGTCTATATTCACTGTTAATTCAAGGAGAGAAAAGTTTTAGCCTTCTAAAGAGAATACTTCATTACACAATTGATGTACTATGACGGAGAGCAGACTTAACGATCTTGCACTTATAGCTTTACACCCTATAAGGCTGTCTGAGCTCTCTACTGAAAAAAAGCAAATCCCAGAAAATTGTAGCTTAAAAGAGTTGGTGAATATGTAGATTGAGAAAATTCTATCTAAAAATTTCAGAAGAAATTTCGTTTATTAGTAAAAGTATAATTTTTAATGATGCTGTGATATTGATTTAGTTAGCTGTGATGGAGTTAAGTGATAAATTTATAAAGTCAAAAAGTTAGTTTTTCAAGCAAAGGAATAATTTTTAGACTCAAAGGTTAGTAACACCCAAAAATGTAGTCTTTTTATGGTGAACAAAACAAGTCCAGGTGGGAGGGGGGGGCAAAATTTTTTTTTAAAAAGTATTAATATTTTTTCAAAAAAGGGGTTTTTAAGGGGGGCACAATGTTGCCAAGGGGGGGACCAAAAAAATTGTGCCCCCCCCCCTAAATAAAAGCCCTCGTACGCCCTTGGCAATAGAAACTATATTGAAAAATGGAAGAACATAAAATGTATTTATAGAAAGATGCAAAAGAAAATATATTGAAAAATGAAAGAATATAGAATGTATTTATAGAAAGATGCAATAGAAAATATATTGAAAAATGGAAGAACATAAAATGTATTTATAGAAAGATGCAATAGAAAATATATTGAAATATGGAAGAACATAGAATGTATTTATAGATAGATGCAATAGAAAATATATTGAAAAATGGAAGAACATAAAATGTATTTATAAAAAGATGCAATAGAAAATATATTGAAAAATGGAAGATCATAGAATGTATTTAATTATAAATAAATGCAATAGAAAATATATTGAAAAATGGAAGATAGAATTAAAAAAAGATAATTGGAAAAATATACGACAGAAATATACGTAATTAGTTTGGAAACCCAGCTTTTACTGGAAATTAAAATTTCCGTAATAAAGTTAACCCACTAGCTCCCCAGTAAAAGTTTTAGGCAAATTTGTCAAGAAGTTCATGAGTTATGATCGGACAAACAAACAAAGAAACAAAAGATAGACAAGAGAAATAGATAATAGATAATAAATAATAAAAATTGAGAAAAACATATTGAAAAAAGGAAAAAGATAAACAAAATAAATAGAAAATTTGTTGAAAAAATATAATGAAGAAAGGGAAAAAGAAGATGTAAGACAAATATCAAACAACAGAAAGAATACAAAGATATACTGAAAGATAGCATTTATAATAAGATATAAATAAATACATAGAAGATATAAATATAGGCAAAGAAAATAGATATAGAAATAAGATATAGAAAATAGATGACAAAAATGGACATAGAACGAATGAATAGATAAAGAAAATAGATATCGAGAAAATAGATATAGAGAAAATTATAGATATAGAGAAAATAGATAAAGAAAATAGATATCAAGAAAATAGATATCAAGAAAATAGATATTAAGAAAATAGATATACAAAATAGATAAAGAGAAAATAGATAAAGAAAAAAGATATAGAGAAAATAGATATAGAGAAAATAGATATAGAGAAGATAGTCGATATAAAAATAGATATAGAGAAGATAGATATAGAGAAGATAGTCGATACAAAATAGATATAGAGAAAATAGATATAGAGAAAATAGATATAGAGAAAATAGATATAGAGAAAATAGATAAAGAAAATGAGACAAGATTATCGTATAAGCAAGAGAAGTATAATTAGATACGTAAATTTAAGAATTGAATAATATAACGCAGATTTACTCATCGAAGATAGAACAGATAAAAGATAAGAAAGAAGATAAGAAGATAAGAAGATAGAGAAAGAAAATGAAGCATAGAAAAGAAAGACTTATCTGATACAAGAATAAAAAATAGTAATGAAACATAGATATATAGAATAGATGCAAAAATAAAAAAAAATTAGATAAAACAGAAAACGAGAAATATTTTTATTTTTATTTTGATATTTTTTTTATACACATATAATATATATATCTATATTTTTTACAAATTAAACCTTACTTTAGAATTTCAGAAAGAAATACCAAGTTTTCCCGAGAATTGAATATCAAATGTTAAATATCCCTTCCATTTTCCAATTCCTTCCATGCGGGGTGAACAAGAGAGATGAGGGTTAGGGCGGGGGGTTGAGGAGCCGGATGGATTACATTGGCCGAGCCAGGATATCTCTTTCATGCCGGTGTCACCCTACGCAGATGGCTTCAATCATACGTCAGACCCTCGTCAGTTTACGTCATTTTCCGAGGAAAACTATCAGGATCTCAGAACACAAACAGAGCTCTAAAAAGCATTTATACGAAACTCCGCCGACATGCGTACTTGGTGATTCTCTTATCGGGGCCTCTCCTGCGACTCGTTGGTGAAACAGTTCATAAGTTTCCGTACCTAACATGGAAATGTACTTTATTTTAACTCTAACGCGTGTCTGTGAGGCCAACGGACAGTACGAACACTACTAGGATCGGAGAACACAGAAAGAGCTTTTGCAGTGACGCAAGATTGACAGTCGAAAGAAAATAGTCGTGCCGAGCCAATACCGAACCGGCGGGTAAAGGGGCCCTGGATTCCGGCGCCGAAACAGCGGCAAGCCTCCATGTGTGTTTTGATCTCCTGATATTTCTCGCTCCATCCGGTGAAGAGGAGATGGTTTATAGAACCCGCGCCCCAGCCCCGCCTTATACACACCCTTCCTTCCCATCCTGTGTGCAGAGAGTAGGCCTAGTGCAGGGGTCAACGTTGCCCTTGCATAGGGTTACAAACTATATGGGGGTTGTATTCTCCTTTTCTCAACTCATAGTCTCCCCGCCGCGCTCCCTCCTCGGTTCAGATAGTTGATCAGGGCTATCAAGATTCCACAACAATCCGGAGCTAAGCCTCAAATGAAAACTTATTCTAAGACGACATTTTGTCTCGTTTTCATTCATGTCTTTTCGCTAAAAAGATATAGATGTAAAAAGATATTTTTGTTAAAAAGACATGTTTGGAATGGGAACTAAACTGTTCCTATTAAAAAAGCACAAATTAGAATCACATGCATAACGTTTTAATATGGATCAAACTTAATACAAAATTTACAATGTGTATAATGTATATTTTGTAATGTGTGACATTTAAGCAGTACATATATAACGTATAACCTTACATTTTTCATAAACATTTGTCATTTATTGCATTACGTTTATTACACGTACATTAGTTGTTTCTGGTACATTCTGGCATATGATGAAATGTTGGGATATTCTCAAACAGCCAATGGGAGAGCTTGGTTACTTGAACATCCAATCAGGTTTAAGAAAATATATTAGTTTATATTTCATCACAGTTTACCTATTTAAGACCAACGTTTAGTTTTCAGATTCAGTATATTGAAGAAACAACAAGCAATCACTGAATTCAATCCTTTGTCATTCATCTCAATCTTTACCTTGAAGCTAAATTTAAGAGAAATGTGCCAAACCAGAAACATGAACCCAAACATGAACCAGCAGCAAGGTTTATATCCAGATTTATCAGGGTTTGGAGAGAACCAGCAATCTCCATCAATCCTTCACTTCCTTCAGGCTTTAGGTCTATTACCTACAGGATATCCTGGGATGGATGGATCAGTACCTACTGCTACAGGTGCTGCAAGCACAGATGGGACTAATCCAACTGCTCCTCCAGGACCTGGAGAACAAGCATTTCCAGGAAGATCAACTCAGGAAAATCAGGTTCCCACCCACGGTTCAGGACTGCAGGATCAGGCTAGTCAGCAAGGAGGACCGCAAGGGTACTATCAACATGGACCTCAGTGTACTTCAGCACCAAGAGCAGGTTTTCAATATCCAGGAGAACCCGGAGCAAGATCACAGTATCCTGGAGCTGGATTTCCGGATCCCAACTGGTGGTCTTATCAGTATCACCAAACTCCTCTATGCTCCTGCTCCATGATGAATATGTTTTCCATATCCTCTCAATGGATGAGAACTCTTTTCAGGAACTCCATGATCACCAGCTCCATCTTCTTCATGATCATCCTCATCCACCTGATCACTCCGTCCTCCCTCCTCATCAACCTCGTCTTCTTCCTCCTCGCCACCGGTCTCGGCCTCCATATTCCTACTCTTGTTGCTGGTAAACTTCTCCAGGTTGTAGTATCTGGAGTTGGAGGAGCTGAACCAGTTCTCCTGGTTGGAATTCTGCTCTGGGCTGCACATAAGAAGATTGTGAGAAAGCAACCTCTGTTTAACACCAACTACTGGAGAAACAGGTTCGGCTGTCTCAGGGTCGTCATCAACAACGAAAACTACAACAGAGGACCCCAGCACCAGAACTAGATTATAGTTTTTGTATGAAAAAGTTATATCATAAGAACATATTTGCATATACCATGATCATTAAGTGTAAGAAACCCTTTCTTGAATCCAACAGTAAAGTTTATTTTTAATGTTTACTTTGTTTCAATGTTATATATAAGTTCTGTAATAAAATGTGTTAGATTTATACAATATAAAGAAGCACTCGTAATTTTATAGCTTCTGACTTCATCACGTTAATCTAAAGTAAATTTTTATTATTATAAAGATTTATTCACACACAAATTGCACTTAAGATTTAAATCTTACATCTTTTCAATTGTAACTCCTCCTAAATTGATGAGCTAATTGAGAAGAAAATAAATATGTTACCGAATATGTTACCGAATAAATACTTAATGTGCGTAAAATAAATATGTTACCGAATAAATACTTAATGTGCGTAAAATAAATATGTTTCTGAATAAATACTTGTGCGTAAAATAAATATGTTTCCGAATAAATACTTGTGCGTAAAATAAATATGTTTCCGAATAAATACTTGTGCGTAAAATAAATGTTTCCGAATAAATACTTGTGCGCAAAATAAATATGTTTCCGAATAAATACTTGTGCGTAAAATAGATATGATTCCGAATAAATACTTGTGCGTAAAATCAATATGAAGATGCGAAGTCGCATATTTATACCAGTTCTACCAGTAATAATGTCGCATGCATTTTACTCTATTCTGTCTAGTTCAGTGTCACCCCAAACTAACCAGAGTGAGAAGCATTCTGTATTTTTTATTTGAAATAAAACGTGTTTTGATTCAACAATATATAATCTTACAGATTTGTTTATTCATACTTTTTCATTCAAAACGTAAATACCGACAAAAAAGTACTTAAGAAAAAGGTTAAAATATTATGTATAATGAGTTAATTTGTGATCGAAAGTTACAGCTTTCTGTGGTGTGTCATCCTGAGAAGTTTTTTATTAAACGATAGAATTCACCGATCAATAAATTTAAATGTTTGCAGCTTATAATTAAATGACATTAAAAACATATTAATTAATAATATATACAGTGATCCAAAAGGTTAAAAGCTCTAACGCTAAAATCACTGAAAATTTTGCCAATTACTTGTTAAACACCAAAACTTAAAACAAATACTTCTAAAATGTACATGTCTTAGGCTACAGAAAAGAACATGGTGAGGTAAAATCAACGACTACGGTGGTCGTTACAGTTTAGTGTCAACCAAGTCTTAAAAATTGATGCATTTTTAAAAACAGTCTGAATCTATGTGAAGAATTCGATGGGACATCCAAAATTTGATTGTTTGATTGATTGATAACAAATAGTAAAAAAGCAAATACGAAAAATCTTCATTTAATGAGAAGAAATGGGTTCTAAAGTTAAGGTTTTATGACTTTAAACCAGGACCTCGAAACCCACCGTGAGAAGGGGAGGCACGTTAAACTAACGGACCTGGTTTAAAGTAAAGAGTCCTTACATCATAACCCATGTTCACCCATTAAATGTAAATCTTTTATGTTTGCTATTTCATATTTTTTTTGGTGGGGGGGGGGGCTATTTATTTCAAAAATAAAACAAAGTGTCTTGCATTATTTTTGACGGATTTTGGAAAAGACATCAAAATATGAGTGAAAATATTTCGATACAGAAAGGAGGCACTTCGGTGTAGTTAGTTTTACTTGGGAGG